GTCTCTGCCTCCCGAGTGCTGGGATTAAAGGCGTGTGCCACCACGCCTGGCGTTTCTCTTTTTTTTAAGTTTTTTTTTGTTTTGTTTTGTTTTTTTGTTATCAGACTCAACCTGTCAAAAACCCGAGACAAAAAGAGATTTGTTGCTGGGCATGGTGGAACACGCCTTTAATTCTGGCACTCTGGAGGCCTAGGAGGGGTGGGTCTCTGGGCGTTGGAGGCTACCCACAGCAAGTTCCAGGCCAGCCAAGGCTACACAGTGAGAGCCTGTGTCAAAGTAACTAAACAAAGAGACTTGTTAAAACTTTCTGGTTTGGGAGCTGCAGAGATGGCTCAGCGGTTAAGAACACTGCCTGTTTTTGCAGAAGACCCAGGTTCAAATCCCAGCACCCACATGGCAGTTAACTGTCTGTAACTCCAGTCCCACGGGATCCGACAGCCTCTTCTGACCTCCATGGGCATTGCACAACACCGGTGCATTTACTATGTGCAGGCAATACACACGTACACATGAAAAAAAACAAAAAAAAAAACATTAGCCAGGCGTGGTGGCACTCACCTTTAATCCCAGCACTTGGGAGGCAAAGGCAGGCGGATCTCTTGAGTTCCAGGCCAGCCTAGTCTACAAAGTGAGTTCCAGGCCAGCTTGGGCTACAAGGAGACCCTGTCTCAAAAAGACCCCCCAAAAAAGAAAAAATTGCCCTGTTTACAATGCCTGTTGAGATTACAGGTGTAAGCCATCAGGCTTGCTTTAGGCTGTTTACATCTGCCCTGGATGAAATCTTATCCCCAGGAATGAATTATCCTGATACCATCAAAGAGGAGGCATAATGGATTTCTTAGGAATCCATCAATTCTTTTCTTTAGGTTTTTACCTATAGCACATGGGATTAGTAACTAAACACAAAGGTCTAGTTTAGTTTATTTTTTAAATTTTATTTATCATTTTTATTTTATGTGTATGGGTGTATCGCCTGCATGTATGTAAGTGCACCCATGTCTTGCAATGCCCAAGGAGGTCAGAGAGGCTGTTGGATCCCCTGGGACTGGAGTTACAGACAGTTGTCAGCTGCCATGTGGGTGCTGGGATTCAAACCTGGGTCTTCTGCAAAAACCACCAGTGTTCTTAACCGCTGAGCCATCTCTCCGGCCCCTTGTTTATTTTTTTAAAAATATTTTATTTATTATTTTAGTTTTATGTGTATGAGTGTATTGCCTGCATGTATGTGGGTACACCAGTGCATTGCTACATAGGTCAGAAGAGGGTATTGGAGTCCCCTGGAACTGGAGTTAAGGACGGTTCTTAGCAACCATGTGGGTTCTGGGAATTCTGGGAATTGAACCTGAGTCTTCTGCAAGAGCAGTGCTCTTAACCGCTGAGCTGTCTCTCCAGCCCCTAGTTTTATTTTTGAATAGAGCAGTTGTAGATTATTAAGGAAAAGTGAGAAACTCGCAAGAGTGGAAGGGATTCCGAGGGAGAAACGCTCTGGTTTTACCTGATCTCCTCCCTTTTTCTTTTTATTTATTTAGTTTTCCGAGGGAGAAACGCTCTGGTTTTACCTGATCTCCTCCCTTTTTCTTTTTATTTATTTAGTTTTCCGAGGGAGAAACGCTCTGGTTTTACCTGATCTCCTCCCTTTTTCTTTTTATTTATTTAGTTTTCCGAGGGAGAAACGCTCTGGTTTTACCTGATCTCCTCCCTTTTTCTTTTTATTTATTTATTTAGTTAGTTGTACTGGGGGTGAATGAACATAGGGCCTTTCCCATGGTAGGCAAGCTGTCTGCTACTGAGCAACATCCCAACTTTTTACTTTTTATTTTGAGAGAGTCTTGCTAAGTTGATCAGGCTAGGTCTGAGCACAGTCTGTAGTCTAGGCAGGCATTCTGTCTCAGTCTTTAGAGCAGCTGGGGTTTCAGGCCCACCCAACTATGTAATGCTATAAAATCATCCTTAAAGATGCCACTCTTAGTTCCTAATGGCTGCCCCACAGGGGGATTAGCCACACCTTGTATCATATCTAGTACCTCACTAATCTGCTGAGCTCTCAGAAATCTTTCCCTTCTAACCACAGACACCTCTCCCCTCTAAAGTCTATGAATGTAAGGACTTTCCTCTGAGGGGTGGTTGTGGTTGGATCTTCCACTGCTGTGGGTAGTGGTGTATTAAAAGGACCTGATCACCTGAAATCCATTTCAGGGCATCTCTCTCTACCAAACCTGGAAAGAGTCCTTATTATTTAAAATGGCCACAAAGACTTTGGGAGTCTGGGGGACAAGCAAGTACTTGTAGCATCCAAGAGCACCAGGACACTGACTTTGTAAAACTTTAAAAGCATTTCTAGCAATCCTACCTACGGGCCTAGGGTAGGCATTGAGCCTAGATTATAGGTGGCACTGATGGCCTCAGAGCTACCCATCCTTCCTTGAACACAGATAACTCCATATACAGGCTGCAGAATCCAGCCTGAGTCACTCTACCTGGACGTGTTACAAAGGGGCATCCAGAAAGAATCTCAGATGGCTGAGCACTCCTGTCCCATGCTTGTGCAATGGGTTCAGGCTTTCTTAAAATGGGGCCCGTTAGCTGTAGAGGGAATTTAGTCCAAGTCTTGGGCTCATTTAACTTAGAAAAGGCCTTTTTTTTTTTTTTTTTTTTTTTTTTTTGGTCTTTTTGAGACAGGGTTTTCCTGTAGCCCCAGCTGACCTGAAACTCGCTACATAGACCAGGCTTGCCTCGAACTCACAGAGATCTGCCTGCCTCTGTCTCCCAAGTGCTGGGATTAAAGAGTTCAAAGAGGCCCGTGTGTGCACCACCACGCCCGGCAGAAAAGGCCAGTTTTAATGTGTAGAGTGCTTGAGAAGTCTAGAATCTAGAATACTTTCTGAGTACATTCTGTGTCACCACTTTTCTCTCACTAAGATTAAATTCCTGTGAAAATTCAGCTACTAAGGCTGTAATAAATCTATTCCAGGTCCCAAAGGGCTTTGGGGTAAAGCAGTCTTGTCAAGAGGTGTTTTAATTAAAAAAAATAATTTCATCAAGACACTAGTCAAGCTCTTGCATGAATTACCCTGGGTGCACTAGCATACTCATCCCATAGCCCAGCATGCTTCCTGCAGGGATATCTCTAGGCAGCACCTTACTCTGCATGACCACCCACAAGTGGGCTAGCTAGGTGACCCTTGTTGGTGAGCTAGCTGGCTCCCACTCTAATTGGAAAAGGATGATTTCAAGCAGAGTTCTGCTGAAGCTACAAAGACCTGTGGGGCTGGGGGGCCCAAGATGGACTGGTGCCAGGCTGACCCTGATGTGGGGTAGGACCAAGTTGTCCTTACTCTATTTAAGCTAGTTATTCACTAGGGGTTTTTGAGCTCCTTAGAAATCAGGGACACTTGGTTTTTTGACAGGGTCTCATGCCTCATGTATCCCAGGCTTGGTTCATAATCACTGTGTAGCTGAGGATGACCTTGAACTCCTGATCCAGTGCTGGGATTATCAAGTTTATGCAGAGCTGGGGATAAATACACTAGGCAACCACTTTACCAACTGAGCTACATTCCCACTCCCCCCCCATTTGTTTTGTTTTTTGTTTGATATAGCGTCTCTCTGTAGCCTCAGCTGGTCTGAAACTCACTATATAGACCAGGCTTGACCTCAGTCTCACAGAAATTAGCCTGCCTCTGCCTCCATTTGTTTTCTTGATCATGGTGTGGACTGTCCATCCATCTCTGCTCAGGCCTTCTCCCTGGAACCAGCATTCCCAGGCTGCAGAGTGAGTGCCTGCAGCCCATGACTCTTGGAGGCCTCACAGGTGGGAGAGTTGAGGCTTCCAGTGTGCATTAGTACATGCTGATGACAGGCCCATCAGGAGCTGACCCACAAACACCACAGTGTCCCTAAGGCCCTTGTGTACCAGATCCCTGGTGTCTAAGGACGAAATGGTCTTAAGTCCCAGGATGCCCTTGAAAAATGGCTCTATACCCAGATTGGCACCTTGCTCATTAATGCTTCCTTCTTCACATTATAGGTCAGTTGTCCACAGATGGGTCTGGGGCCTGTGAGAGAGGCACCTGGGGCTAGTGGGCCAAGCCAGAGCTGTCCTTGGAGGGGCCACTAAGCTGCTCTCTGAACTTTATTTTCCATGGGGGTGGGGGTCTGTCCTGCAGCCTTGAGTCACTGCACATCTTTGGTGGGGGTAGGCCATGCCTGGGAGTGATTTGAGTCACACACCTACTTTGTGTCTCCTCTCGATGTCCAAGGCCTGAGAGACTCCGTCTATGGGCTAGAGCTGTTGCCCATGTCCTGGAGGTCCCTGCTTGCCTGTCACATGCTTTGCGTCCTGCCTATCTCTCCCTAATGCTGTCCCTCCTGGCCCTCTGGCAGGTAAGGTGCCTGGCGACGACTGCCCCCTGGTGTGGGGACAGTGCTCCCACTGCTTCCACATGCACTGCATCCTCAAGTGGCTGAACGCGCAGCAGGTGCAGCAGCACTGCCCCATGTGCCGCCAGGAATGGAAGTTCAAAGAGTGAGGCCCGTGTGTGCCCCACCCCCTCCCAGCCCTGTGCCAAGCTCAGCCCCTTCCCCTCACTGAAGACGGCATCCTGAGCCCCTCCTCACCATGGACCTGGTGGCAGTGTTCCGTGCTGGGGACAGGGATGCCGTCCCTGGGGCTGTGACAGGGTTGGAACAAGGACTGGCGCTTTGTGTGGCTTTTTTTCTTTCGCTATGTTGACACTTTTATTCAATAAATAACTCATTAAAGTTCTTGAGCCTTGCTGGAGGCCTTTGTTGCCTGTTTTCTTGACACGTTGACGCAGCTGCTGTTTATGTTTTGGTATGAGAACTCTCATGAATAAACATCTTGATGAAATAACTGCCAGGGCCCTCATCACACCAAGTCACAACTCAAGAACAGAAGGAACACAGGATCAGACAGAAGAGCCTGGGGCCTCGCCAGGCTGGGCAGACTCTAGGGTGTATTTATGCCAAGGGGTTGGTATGGGGGACATAGCCCATCTGTTGGTATTACTTGGTGGAAGCCTTGGGGACACAAATGAGTACACAGGCCTCACTGAGCACAGCTGGCAGCCAGTGTTCAGGAAGGAAGAGGTGACTAAACTGTCTTTGGTTGCGCTGAGATGGTCTGAGAACTGACAAGCTATTCTCAGCCCCTTGCCTCTGGCTCAGACTGAAGGCCAGCTCTAGTATAGGACCATTGATACTGAATGTGAGGCCTCAGGTGAGGGACAGCCCTTTGAAATCTCCTTTGTTCCTTACAGCTGGAGATTGACACTCACTGGGGAAACAATAGCCCAGGCCTGGGGTGTCAGGCAGCTTCTGAGTGGAGACCAATGCAGGCTTGTATCCAGGAGCCCTCGGGAACCCTGGTCAATTCATCACCTTGTCCCCACAGGTTCAGTGCCCATGGTCAGTGTGAATACCTTTGCATTCAGCCCACCTGTCTTATAGCCTGGACAGTAGGCAGTAAGGGCAGGGCTCCAGGCCATCTGTACCTGTGTGTGTGTGTGTGTGTTGGTTATGAGCTTTGTTGCCTGCTCCGTCTTAGGCCCCTTGTATTCCCACTTCAAATAGACCTGTGGTCCAAAAGCAGATCGTTTGTACCAACTGGCTGTCTACAGCATGCTAGGCCTGAAACTGGTAGCAGCCATCAGCAGTAAAGAGGGCCTTAGAAACAGATGGAGTATTCCAGCCTGGAGTACCCCAGTAGCTGCAGAGGAGAGTCTCGATTTGTGGATTTGGAGCTGTTTGAGTTGATGGCTCAGGTCTGCCCCAAGTCTGTTTCATGTCCATCCTGGCCTGTCCCATCCTCCCCACCCCTCAGCCTGCTTCTCTTCTCATCCTAGAGTACCCTCCATGTTTCTCTAGAAGCCTTCCCCTGGGACTTCACCCTTCTGGGTCTTCATCCTCATTGAAGCATCTTTCTGTTGGGCAGGAAGTACTCACAAGGTCCATATCCAGGCTTCCCTTAGAGTCCTCCTGGCTACACAGTCTCACTACTGGATTCCCTGCTTGCTACTGGGTTCAAGCTGGTCCTGTCACGAGAGCCAACTTTGGAGGTCAAAAAAAAAAAAATCAAAACTCATCCTACGCATATGTGCTCTCCCTGCATGAGGGGGTTCCAGGTTCTTCCCCTTTCTTCTATCTGCCTCCTTCATGCAAGTCAAGGAACCTGATGGGACCCTATAACCACAGCTGGTGCTCTCTCTGAGCCCTTTTCCTAGGCAGGAACAGAAGGTCCTGTGGGCAGTCCATGCCATTAACCCGTACAGTTCCTTTCCAAGCGTACGGTCGTCTCTGTTGCACCTGTACTTGCCCAGCCTGTTCAGGGACTATGTCCTGTTCATGTTCTGAGCCCTGTACACAGTAGGTGTCCCTGCACACAGTAGGTGTACCTTACATCTCACTTCCTGTGTCCAGTGTTTAGACCAATGTTTGCTGCATGTAGGCAGAAAAGCCTCCTAGGGCACCCACCCCTGAGGCAGAGCTGGGCAGAACTGCAGTCTGCAGTCACCATCCAGCCTGGCATGGTGGCTTATGCCTGTAATCCCAGCACTTGGGAGGCTCAGGCAGGAGGATTTTCCCCAAGTCCCCCCAATTGACTGGAGGGGAGACCAGCGAAAGAGTAAGAAGGCCCCACATCTCATCACCCTTGGACTTCAGAGAGCCTGTGGTAAGTCTTGGACCCAGAGGTCAGGTCTGCTTTAGGATGCCAGAAGTCGGCCCTTGGTCCCCGCTGAGCGCAAGTAGCAGTCTTTAGCCGTCCGTCGCCTGAGCACTGGGGCCTTGCAGAGTGTCAGAGGCCCGGGGATCCCTAGCCTGCCCGCCTGCCTCCCTCCTCCCATGCCGCCGGCTGCGACGCCCGCACCCCCTCCCTGCCGCGCTCCCGCCCTCGTCTACACTGCAGATATAAAGCGCTGGCAGGATCGCTGACTTCAACCCCGACGTTCCCGGCTGCAGCCTGCCTGCTACGTCTCCATGGCCCGGTGCGCTCCGCTCGTGGCCGCCGCCCTGGCGCTGCTCCCGTTGCTCGCGCCGCCAGCCCTGGCGTGGTACAAGCCGGTGGCCGGACCCCGCCACTACTCGGTGGGCCGCGCCGCGGGGCTGCTGTCCAGTTTCCGCAGGTTCCCGTCCCCGCGGCGCACCGAGTCCCCAGCACTCGCCGGAGGCGTCCTCCCCGACATGCGCGCCAGCCTGCGGAGCCTCGTGAGTGCCGGCCGGCGGCGGGTGGCGGGAGCTGGGCGGTCAGGGCGGGCGCTCAGCCTCCACCGCCCACCCAGGCTTGGTGCGTCAAGGACGTTACCCCGAACCTGCAAAGCTGCGAGCGGCTGCTCGACGGCCCAGGGACTTTCCAGTGCAAGGCGGACATCTTCCTGTCGCTGCGCGCATCCGATTGCCAAAGCGCCTGAGCCCCGGAGCCCCAACCGGAACCTCGCCTCTCCCCGGTGGGTGCCCCCCATGCCCAGTCTTGTTTGGGGACCCCCCCCAGGCCCTGTCGTGTGGGGCGGCTCCTGTGAACCCTAACCCCCCCACAGCAAATAGCTGAATGAATAAAGCAAATTGGTTTTCAGTGAGGGTCGCTGGAGGAGACCGAGCACAGGGCACAGACCAGCGCCTCTTATTTGGTGCCGGGCTGAACAAGTCTCAGGGTTAGCTACTTGCTTTTTACAGCATTTCCTCTGGCCAGGCAGGCTGGCTCTTCCCTTTGTCCACAAAACCACAAAGGACCAGAGCTCCCAGGTGCTGGAAGGCTGGGCCTTCCTTTCTTCCACAGAGGCAGAAAAGGCCCTGGAATAGTCTTCACAGGTGCCCTACTTAAGCAGCAGGCCCTGGGCTATCATAAAACTGCCTGCAGAGGATCCTCAGGCCTCATTGCTGTGACCCGTGATCCTATGGAACTGACCTCCCACAGGCCTCTGCCTTATCTGCCCCCCAGTGCCATCCAGGGCCACCCCATATGAACCAGAGTTCATGGGTCCCTTAAAAGAAGCCCTATGTGTGTCCTGCCCCATCTCAGGCAACCCTCCTGCTCCTGGGATTCCCATTACCTCCAACCCTAACCATGTCTTCCACCCTTTAGAGTCCAAGGACCTTGAAGTACTGAGCTTAGCCACTGTGTGTTCAGTGAATTAAGGAGGGCATGGGCTGTGTCCAGGTTGTGTCAGGACAGGAAGTGAGGTATGTAGGTACAGGCCAAGGATGAAACTGCATAGGAGCCCTCAGACCCACCCAAACCTTCGTACAAGCCTGGTCTCTTTCCCTAAACCCCCAATGACCCACATGGAAGCTGCCCACAGTGCCTTGAGGGCCAGAGACTACAGGGCTCAGTGGTCTGCCTGGCCAGTGCCAAAGCCAGTTCCTACTCCTCATAAACTCCAGGAATCTAGGCTCTGGGTTACAGAGCCAAAGTGGTCAGGGAGCTGACTTGAGTTCTGGCTGCTTCTCTTGCCCCGTCTTCCCTCTGGTCTAAGGTGGACACAGGTACAGGGCAGATGCCAGTTCCACTGCCTGAACTCTGGCCTGAGAGGTCCTGAGCCTAGTGCTTAAGGGTATCCTCTACTCCATGGTGCCGTCACCGGCTGCCCTCCACCCAGAGGCCATGGATGGCATACAATAAGCAGGCCAGTGCAGTATTCCTCTGGGAACCAGCCTGAGTCCAAACAGCAACACACAAAGGCTGCCCTGAGACAGCTCAGGGTACCCCATGGCCCAGGGAGTCTAGGGGGCAGGGTTGAGGAAGGAAGGAATGCTGAGCACTGCCTGCCCAGGGTGGAGGTGCGTGAAATGCAACTCAGAATCCTACACAAAGCCCCCTAGTCATGTAAAAGGGAGAAAGGGCAGGCTCGCCTGCTTCAATGGGAGTGGAGGGAGGCAGGTCTAGCTGCTCCAGCAGCCGAAAGGGCAAGGCATGGGGTAGAGAGTACCACCACAATTACCTGTTCTAGAGAAGCCATGGATCAACCCAGGGCCTCACCGTGCTAGCCAGTTACATTGAGCGTCTCCCCCACAACTAGCCACCAAGAGGCAGCTGTGGACCCTGCTGGGTGTCAAGATTTAGACTCTGCAGACTGCAGAAGAGCCAGGGGCTGGTCTGGATCTTCCTCCCTTTTCTAAGAGCTCTTGCAGGGGGTGGGTATGGCTGGGCTTCCCAGTTCTCTCCCAAGGCTGGACACAGCATTTTCCCCTAGGCTTTATTCAGACGCACCAAAGAGATTTACACCAGCCAATGAGGTACAAATGGGGACCAGGAAGTCTGTGCAGAGGTCAGCCGTGCTGGCCCAGCTGGCGGGGCAAGTGCATCTTCCAGGAGCCAGGCACAGGGTGTTGGGACATGCCCCAAGGCAGATGGTAGCCACCTGGAGGGTGACTTGGGACCAGAGCTCCCTCAAACCACCCCTTCTGTCCCTCTCACCAAAGCCAGGTGGGCAGATATGCAGCCTCCAGCCAGGTAAGAGGGATGTCCCCAACCAAGATGGGGGCAATGGTAGTTGGAACCTGGTGGATGTCCTCCAGGCACAGGTGCCTCTGCTCAGTCAGCCCACTGTGCTGCCCTATTGTACTGGCCACTCTCTTTGAAAGGACTGAGAGCCTGCTACATGACAGACACCTTGCAGGTGGGCAGGTAACAGGACCCTCCATGCCAGGTCGGCTGGGAGGGTGGCGATGCACTCTCTGGAATTGTGTGAGCCGAGACTCTGAGACACAAGCAGAGTAGGGCAGGGGGCCACAGGGAAAAGGCAAGAGTGACATCCTCCAGGTCAGAAGCTAGTCAGTCTCTCCTGTGGGCTGTGATTCGTGCTGCCTCGTGGCCTCTAGAAAGGCTAGTTCTTTGGCTTCCTTCTTCTGGTTTCGAGCCTCGTACTCCAACCTGGGGGGCAGGGCAGATGTCAGCTGGCCCTCTTCCCCAAAATACTGGGAGTTGCCCACTGCCAGCCCAGCCAGAGCAGGAGGACCACACACCTGTTCTTGATGATCCTCTGCACAATCAGGTCTGTGGTAAGGTCACTGCCACTGTCAATCTGACAAAAGATGCCTTTTCTCTTGGGCTCCTGGAGGCCCCGATGGGAAGAAGAGGGGGAGGTGAGCAAAGATACCCTCTGCCCTCCACCCAAACTCCTTTCCCCTAGGGAGACCAGTACCGGGGCCAGTGAGGGTGGCCATGTCTGCTTCCAAGAGGCAACCCAGTCCAGGGAAACCCACCTGGTAGGGGTCAGAGCCGTCCTTGTCTGGTACAATTTCAGTCTTCCCATGACACACTAGGTCCACCTGGAGAGGGTGTGGGGACATAAGCTGCCTCAGACAAAGTGTACCACCACCCAGGGCCAGCCCAGACCTAGGAGAACCGGCCCTGCTTGACCCAGGCCTCTAGGAGCCTTTCTATAGCACTTTCCACCCAGCCAGAAAGGTGCCTCACCTTGAAGTGATTCAGGAGCTCCGCTGTGACAGCATACGGTGCCCCAATCACCACTTCCGACACATACTGCAGACACAGCCAGTAAAGCACCTGGCTCAGTCCTCACTCCTGGCAAGCCAGGGATAGAGGGTGGCAGACAGCCCCAGAGGGAGCTGAAAGGCTTCAAGAAAGCCAGCAGGGACAGGGTAGCATGGCTGGGGTCAGCAGCAAAGGGGACCCTCAGACTCCTCTATGCCGAGGGGTCTAAACCGCCCTCTACCCACCTTACCAAACTGGGCAGGTGGGTGTCCCTGCCCTGGCTCAGGAAGCACTGCTCCCAGCCCACTCACCCGGCAGGCCAGCACACTGAGGGTCCGCTCATGCAGGTTCATGATGGGATAGTTCTTGCCCTTGTACCGGTTCACTTCCTAGGGCCAGTGAAGTTGACTCAGCTGGAGGACCTCAAGTGAACGGGTGCCCTCCCACCCAGCTGGCCTTTATGAGCAGAAGCTGGGAAAGGTGCCTCCTCTCACAGGAACACCCCAGACAGGCTGTCCTGGGTTCCAGAAGCGAGCCAGACACCAGGAGCCTCATTCATCGAGAGACCACTTGTGCCCAACACTGATCTCAGGAAGGCCTCTGGAGGGTCCCCACGGTCATCAGCTGACTGGGGTACAGGGGAACAAGCAAGTAGGGCAGAGACCTGGTCAAAGTGGAGGCCAGCGATGACATAAGGCCTCTCAGCTAGCTTGTACACCTCCTTGAGGAAGTCCACGTGCCCGATGTCTACATCTGGATTAAGAAGCAGTAACTGGCTGACTGTGGGAGTGCTCTCCTGTAAACCCAGTACTTGAAGATGGAGGAAGATTGCAAATTCCAGGTCAGCCTGGGCTACACAATAAGACACTGTCTCAAAAAAACCTGGGATGGCACTCAGCAATAGAACATTTGTCTTGGTTGTGCAAAGCCCTGGATTCCATCCCCAGCACCACAAAAGAAGGTGGGGCGTGGGGGAGTAGCAGCAGTAATGGGCCAGGAAGGGGACCAGCCAGCATTCTCTCTTGCTGACAGCCACACCCCCTGTAACCCAGCTCAGCTCAGCCCTGGAGCCTTGGAGCCTGTGGGTCCCATGGGTGTGGGGCAGCAGAGGTCCTAGGAGGATACGGAACAGGTCGAAGGCACCGGCCACATAGATGACAGTCTCCCCGGGCTGTGGCTCCTTCCCAGAAGCAAACTGGATGATCTTCTGGGATGTCTGTAGAAACTGGGACACCCCTGTCCAGGGGTTCCGCCCCCCAGGACACTGTCAGCCAAGAGAGGGAACTAGTCAATGGCAGACCTCCAGGTGTGCCCCTCCCCCAGCACCCTCCTCAGGGCCACTCTTTGGAGCCCAGGGCTCCCTGTACTCCTGTCACAGGTGTGGGTGTCACAGGTGTGGGTGATGGGAACATGTACAAGGATAGTACAGGCTGGACCCCCCCATCCTCAGCCTGCCAGTAACCCAGCAGCACTGCTGGGGGCTACATCCAGGCAGGCACCTGGGGCAGGGGCAGGGGACACACCATGGCCAGGCCAAGCAGGACCACTGTAGCCAGCAGGACTGTGGCTCCGCCCAGTGGCCACAGCAGATACTGCAGTCAACACCAGCTCTGCCTGGCAACACACCACCAGGAGCAGGCGCAGAGCCCAGTGGCCAGCAGACACAGCCCTCTGGGGGACCCGGCACCCTGAGGCCACCATCTGGTCACCTGGGAGGAGACTTCTGAGGAAAGTGTGTTCCCGGCAGGTGTCGGGTGAGGGGGCTACAAAGGGAGAGAGGGCCAGGCCACGTGGTTAGATGTCACCTACAGGTCGGCAGTCCTTGCTACTCCAAGGGGCTGTTGGGACTGGCCACCTCTTGCCTGTCCTCCCTCCCGGCATCCACTAGCTGGCCAAGTCTGGTGGTCAGTACCTGGTCAGCACTGGGAAGGGAAGGAGGAGGGCAGAGAGTGAAGCTCTGGGTCGACCTTTCCCCAGTGGGAAGCCTGGCGGGCGGGGGGGGGGGGGACCACCTGGTGGCTAGCAAAGCATCAGCTGTAC